CTTCTGATGCTTTCTTCATCCATTCGGGACCATGATCGCCTTTGATGTTCCACTATGAGATTCGTCTATTCCTCATCAGAATATCCCGCTCAAAATGCTCGGCAGTCAGCTGACCGGGCAGTCGTTCACAATGCGGATTGAATACCGAATAAGCAGATGGCTCATTCGCTTTCCTCTCGCCCAGATTCAACACCATCGCAATGAACAGTGAAAATATGAAGAAAACAACGCCGAATTGTACATATGCAGCGCTGATTTGTAGTATGAGCCAGGTGGATAGTGTTACGACGGCACACTGCCACGGTGCTCTGGCCGCATAGGCTCGCCATGCCCTGAGCGGATATACGTCAAGTGCACCCTCCCAGACTCGATACAATCCATAGAGTACACTTTCAAAAGCCACCAATAACCATGCTCTTTCGCTGGGTTTGGCTTCATTGCTTGCTTCAGATGTCCCCTGGAAACCAAAACAGTCGAAAGTTGCCTTCAGAAAAGATACATCGGGAATTTTGCTCAAATCAGAAAGAATTCCTCAGAGAAAGAGAAATTTTCACAGAATGTCACTCACATAAAATTTTAAAGAATAGGAAATGGATTCAAAATTTTTATAAACGTGATATTTCCGGCTAAAATTGATGCCACAAAACATTAAACAGATTCAAAACTGAATAAGGAACATTCAAAACTGCACGTTCAAATTAACACAATACAGTCCAATTTTAATGTCAGCATTTCCATACTTTCTAATTGTAAGATTTGTATTCAGACTTCTAACCAAAATTAAATTATAAGTCAAAACTCAAAAGTAACCAATAACGATAAAGTGCAGATGATCGCATGTACTACGGCTTATCTGCCTCAACTCTTCAGTGCAATAACCCTACCAATCCAATTTTATGCTCATTATTTTCTGCACTCTCATTACGACAGCTGATCATTCTCACGCTAATGACTAACTCAATGAAAAACAGCTTGATAAATGATAAACAAAAGTAAAAACCCATAAAATCAATCGGAAACTTTGAAAATCCTTTAAAAAATCACTTCGTTTCCCTTCAATCGAAATTCACCGACTTTCAATGTTCAAGTCCAGTTATTATCAGTTCACCAACTTTCTTATTCGTAACCGAACAAATTCAAAAAAAATATGCTACGTGGAACCTAAAGCATGACCGAACGATACGATATGACTATGAAAACAACAACGCAAAACTAGATTATGTTATAGTGGAATGGCAAAATCGCACATCCATCCATTCACTTACCTATTCCCA